CGCGGCCGGGCGCAGGACCCCGAGCGGCCGCAGCCCGGCCCCGCGCCCCCGGCCATTCCGCCTCGCCCTCGAGCGACCGCGCGCCAACAGAGCTGTCTGGAAGGGGCCGGAGAAGACAGAGGCGCAACTCGGAAGCAGTCCCGGGGCCGCCGGAAATTACCCCTGACATCGGGCAGGGCACGCGGGCGCCGCGCGCATGCGCCGCAACCTGGCTGGGCGGGAGACCGTGGGAGCCGCACGCAGCCCCGCCCCCGCGGGGAGGGCTGTCGGAGAAGAGTGTGGGAGGAAGGAGTAGAGCTTCACCGGAGAGTGCCCCACGCAGATGCAGCTCTCACGTGGCCCCCCAAACCCGTGCCTGAGACCTCCCCCCGCCTCCGGGAAACCAGGGGAGATAAGGGCACTGTAGTGGCCAGGGCAGGAGGGACATTGTTGCAGTACACCTGAGATCCAAGGCAGGGAACTGTGCTTCCGACTGCGGCGAAAGGCCAGACTGCCGCCTTCCCCCCATCCCTGCGGGTCTGGTTGTCAACGGGAGGGAAGTCCTGTCTGGTCCCAGCTGTGGTGATAGGTCTGACCCTGCAAGGATCAAGCCTCCCAGCCTTTGGCTGCACCCAACACCCACTGGTTCCTCCCGAGGCTGCAAGGAGACACAGCCTTCATGTCACCATAAAAATAGGGTGGTAGCCACTTGAGTGAATAGAGGCCTTTTACAGGGGTTTAGGTTGTAGCCGTGTTGGTCTAAGGATATAGGCAGACAAGGTTCCTTGGGTGAATTTGATATCTTTTATTAGACCAACCCAAATGGTTGGAGAATAGTTATTAAGCAAGCTTTCGGGTTCAAAAACCCTTCGTCAGGCTCAGGAAGCTGCAGCAGTTGGTGTGTGCTCTTCCTGGATGGAATGAAAAGTAAACAAGCCAGGGGCTGGGCTGGGCTGGGCTGGGCTGGGGAGTCAGTTGCCAGGCAGATTATAATGTATCAAAAATCCAATGTCTATGTTTAGTCCATGATCTCTGGTATCCAGCAGGTTGATGAAATGGAGCTCATAGGCTCGTCTCTGGGAAGTGTTGTGTAAGTTTCCCTTGAGGATCAGGACTGAGAGATTGGAGAGAGAGTGGCCCTCCTGTGAGAAATGTGCCTCCACCGGTAATTGGGTGTTTCTGTCTTTGATGGATTTCCGGTGTGCGTTCATTCTGGTGCGCAGTTGTTGTCTGGTCTCTCCTACATATTTTCCATCAGGGCATTTGGTGCATTGGATGTGGTATATTACATTCCTGGAGGTGCAGCTGTAAGATCCTGGGATGCTGATGGCTCTGTTGTGGGGTGTAGTAATAGTGGAGGTGGTGGAGATGTGGGGGCAGATTTTGCATTTCTTGTCATGGCATGGTTTTTGAGGATTTTCCGTACAGGTTCAAGGGATGGGTGATACGTCATAACCAGCGGCGTGTGATTTGTGGGTGTTTTTCTTCTGTACTGCAGCAGTTCTTCACGTGGTATCCAGGTGCCTCTTTCAAACATGCGATCTACCTCTCTGGAGGAGTGTCCTTGCTGGGTGAAAGCCTTTTTAAGATTGGTGAGGTGGCAATCCCGGGTGTTCTCTTCAGTACAGATGCGGTGGTATCTGAGGGCTTGGCTGTATATTGCAGCTTTTTTGGTGTGTTTCGGGTGATTGCTGGTTCTGTGCAGATATGTATGTTGGTCTGTGGGTTTCTTGTATACTGTGGTCTGTATTTTACCCTTCTGGATACTGATCCTTGTGTCTAAAAAGGGGATGTTGGTGTTGGAGTATTCTAAAGAAAGTCGGATGGAGGGATGGTGATTGTTGAATTTCTGGTGGAACTCAATTAGAGATTCCCGGTTCTCACTCCAAATGATGAAGATGTCATTGATATATCGTAAGTACAGCAAGGGTTTGATGGTGCAGTTCTTGAGGAAGTCTTCTTCCAGGTGGCTCATAAAAAGGTTGGCATATTGTAGGGCCATTTTAGTGCCCATAGCTGTTCCCATCATCTGGAGGAAGTGTTGATTATTAAAAGTGAAATTGTTGTGTGTGAGGATGAAGTGTATAAGCTCAGTGATATCTTTGGGTCTGTATTCTGGGTTGTAATCTTGTTCCTGTAGATATGTAAGGCAGGATGGTGTGGGATGTTGGTGGTAGCCCTTTGTTGCACCACAAATACCTTAATTTTGTGACAGCAACGACCCTAGCCATCATTTGTGCCACTTTTTTGTAGCCAACATCTGTTCACTTATGGCAGAAGAATGCCTGTGGCTGCCCACGTTCTCCAGCCGCCCTGGGCAGGAGCTCCAGGAACTTAAGGGCCTGGTCTTGCGAGACAGCGGCTCTAGCTGCCTCATCCCAACATAGGCACGTGGCTGCAAATCAGGGTTTCCTGCTTGCGTATGCATGCTCCCGAGTTGGGGCACAGTGATGATAACCTGTGCTGCAGTAATCTGCAGGGGATTCCCAGGGTGTGTGTCTGCAAGAAGTGGGGAATTCCCATACTGGTTTCTTCTGTGCTTGCACCCATGCCCTGATACCAGGTGTGTATTCATTACTACAGCCCATAGTTTGCAAGTGCAGGGGGGGAAACCCTATGAGAATTCTCTATGCTGGTGCTGGGGGAAGTTGCCCATAGCACACTGCCCTCACGGGGGGGGGGTCTGCCAGCATGGAGGGGGACACCCTTATGGGAGTTCTCCCCTTCACCTGGAGCAGAATCCCTTGCAGGTAGATTCTCCTGTGCCCTGACACAGCAGGTGTGTCTGCAACTGGGAGGTTTCCCTTGGGTTGAAGACATGTGCTGTAACTTGTGGGGCAGCACCTAGAGCTGTTTTCATGCAGGATTAGGCCCCTGAAACTCCAGGAGCAGCCGGGGCTTGATCCTATGGGACAACAATCCCAGCAATGTCTGTAGACATCAGTGAAGTGGATCAGTTGTGCCAGCGTGTGTTGTGGCATAGATGATCGTATTCCAAAAATGACTTCTGTTTTCAGCCTCAGGGAAGTGGAACAACAACAAAAACTTGACATCTGTAGCAACAGGAAGGGGCGAGGAATAAACAAACCCTTCCCAGTCCCACGTGGCAGTTAGCAAAGCCCAGAAACATGGGAAAATCAAACCTTCACCCTGAACTGGGAACCACAAACACCCTAACTAGAGAGCCAGGACTCCCCTTTCTGTTATCCTGTCACTTCCATAAATCTGTTCCCACTTTTAAATCCTGTTTCATAACCAAGCTGGTTGTGGAACTTGCTTCATTTTCCAGTTTCTGTCTGCTCTGGGCTGCTGAGCTCTTCTTACCTCCAAACTATGGGTACATCCAGGTGGAGAGCTCCTGAGCTTCCAAGGTTTGCGCTTCACAGCACACTCCAGGCATCATTCCAACATTGGTTCTATTGACCAATGCTTATCCAGCTTCTTGAAATTTGCAATTAAGGAGAGTCCACAACTTTCCTAGGCAGTCTATTCCATTGTCTCACTGTTCTAACAGTGAAGTTTTTCCTGATCTTCAGTGTAGAACTACTTTGCTGCAATTTCAAGTCCTTGCTTAGCATCATACTAAACTTTATAGCAGCTCTTCAGATTTTTTAAATGTTTCTACTAGCCTTCAACAGCTCTGTAGTTTATTTGTTTATTATTAAATGAATATGTGATTAGTCACATCTGCATTATGATTGAAGGTTTTAGTGTAATACCCATGCATATTTTTTCACAACCAGTTTTCTTTAAGATTTGTGAATTTAGAGCATGACCTGACGACATAGTACAGTAGTAGATTTTTTTCAGAGCTTAAATAGAAACTACACTGCCTTGGAAGTACTGGGATTTTTTTTTGTCATAGTAAATGACAGCATTATTAGTATATTTGGTCCTTTAATTTACTTGCTCACTTTGTTTTGTGGTCCATAGGAAAACTGTTCTTCTCAAGTATTTCACATTTTGAAATCCTTGAAGTATCAGTTCTTCTGTTGAAGAACTGAAGTATCAATTATTTGGATTTCAAGAGGTTGTCATTGCATACTGATCTGACTTTCCCCCCCAAAGCTTAACTGTACCAAACAGTAATTTATAATACCTTTCATCTCTGAAGAGAGCAATGACGTGTAGCCATTAGCCAACTGTAAATCTACTTAAGCTTTGTCATTGCTGTGGGTTGGAAATGCTTCCCTCCAAGCTGTCCCTCTAGACCCATTAAATATAGTGTAGAAGTTACAAGGTGTTTCATACACAATTTACTTTTTAGGATCTGGACCTTTAAGAATAAACATGGTATAGGTTGCAGCTAACTCTTGATAAAATTGAGCAATAGAAATGCATTCAGTTTCCAAGTTAGACTTTCCATTTCTGACATCAACAGCTTTGACATAAAGAAGTTGTCATCAAGTGTTCAGCCAATTATCAAAACTGATTTATCTCTTGTTGAAAAGAGTGGGGCGTCCTTCTTGAATCATGTGTTGAAACTTTCAGAAATCCCCAGAGCATGGTCTGTGAGTCCCATGAGGCACTTCTTGAATGGGTCCTTCGTTGTGTCACGTATCACAGTATTAGCATAAGGAGGGCCTTCAAAAATATCATAGCCCGATATTTCCCCTTGTTCCTTAACCCTTTTCACATTTGCTTGGAGTGGCAAGCACCTCATCTGACCATGTCTGAGCATTTTGTGGAAATCTATGCTGAAGAATTCTTGAAATACGTGAAGGGCTTCAGTATTCCTTGGGATTGTATATGTTTCCATGCAAGTCCACTAGAGAAGATGACAGCTTCCCTGCAGGTATAATCACTTATGAGATGAATCACAGTGAATGGTTACAACCCATGGAATTCAGTGATCTTTTTAAATAAGGATTTGTGAATACCAGTCATGG